GTTGATGATTCAGATTCATAAGGAGCCATGGTGGCACAATGGGTTAAACCCTTGTCCTGCTGAACTGCTGACTTGAAAGTTGGCAGTTCGAATCCACAAGATGGAGCGAGCTCTCGTCTGTCAGCTCCAGTTCCTGCCAACCTAGCAGTTCAAAAACATCCAAATATGAGTAGATAAATAGGTACTGCTTCGGCAAAGAGATGCTCCAAGCAATCTTGCAGGCCACACAACCAGGAGGTGACAACAAAAGCTCCTTGGCTTGAAAATGAAGAAAGCACCTCCTCAGAGCCAGAGATGAGCAGCACCTCCAGAAGCCGGAAATGATAGGAGAAACCTCTGTCTTTGTTTGTGTTTGTGTCTCTCATTGTATATGATTTTTAAAGGCATGGAATGTTCGCCTATGTAGGCAAATGCTGTAATCTGCTCTGAGTCTCCTAGGAAAGATAGGCAGAATATAAATAAGGTGTATTACTATTATTATTATTACTATTATTATTATTATTATTATTATTAGAAACACTACAAGATGAGTGCACAGCAGACACTCTGCTGGCTGTTGTATTGGATCACACGTCGGACACTTCCCAAGTGTCTAGGACTATGTGATGTATCGGCGAATAATGTGTGCAGATCCCAGTAAGCTGGCCTTCTGCAGCTGGCAGATGGCAATCTTGTCAACGCTGATTGTGTTTAAGTGCAGGCCAAGGTCTTTAGGCATTGCACCCAGTGTGCCAGTTACCACTGGGACCACCTTTACTGGTTTGTGCCAGAGTCTTTGCAGTTCGATCTTTAAATCCTCATATCGTGTCATCTTTTCCAGTTGTTTCTCTTCAATCCTGCTGTCACATGGGATTGCAACATCGACAATCCATACTTTGTTTTTTTCCACAATCGTGAGTTCAGGAGTCTTGTGCTCAGTTAGTCTGAATTCGGAAGTCCCAGAATAGTTTGACGTGTTCATTTTCTGTAACTTTTTCAGGGTTGTGATCCCACCAGTTCTTTGTCACAGGCAGATGGTATTTGTGGCTCAAGTTCCAATTAATCATCTGAGCAACGGTGTTATGCCTTTGCTTGTAGTCTGTCTGCGCAATCTTCTTGCAGCAGCTGAGGATGTGATCTATTGTTTCATCTGCTTCCTTGCAGAGTCTACACTTGGGATCTGTTGTCGACTAGAACCAATGTCAATTTGATGGCATTGGTTCAAATGGCTTGTTCTTGGGCTGCCAGAATCAGGCCTCCGTCTCCTTTTTCAGAGTCCCATTTGTGAGCCACAGCCATGTTTTTTCTTTGTCAGTTTGGCTTTCAATTTTTCCCAGGAACTGTCCATGGACAGCCTTCTTTCACCAGTTTTTTCTTCTGCTCTGGATTGTTTTTTTTACGGTATTCACTCTTTGTCTTTTGCACTTGACGCAGTTAACTACTATTGACTTCCCTCAATGTTGGTTCTTGACTGCCTTTCACATAATCTGCCAGTGCGTGTTTCTCTTCTTCTACCATTCGTTTCACTTGCAGAAGCCTTTTCTCTGCCTCCTGATTTTCTGGGCAGGTAAAGTCTGTCGACATGACTCCACGGGTGTAATGCGTAGTGGATTGTCATCAGTTTTCTTGTTTTTCTGTCCAGATCATCCAGCTCTGCTTGAGTCCAGTTCACAATTCCAGCAGATTATTATTATTATTATTATTATTATTATTATTATTATTATTATTATATAAAAATGATACCCCAATAATAAAATGATTAAAAAGTCTATGTTCTGGCATCTGAATGTCTCCACATCCTTCCTGTATCTTGTCAGAGAAGAATCTCATCTAGGAATGTATTCTTTAACAGAACTATATTAGTTTTCTCTCTGTCCACTTTCCAGGCTTATGTATTGTATATATCTGTGTACTTTGATTCTAGATCCCATTTCTTCTTCTATTTTAATTTCCTAAGTAAAGCACCGTGTAATAATATCGCCCAAAGTGTCCCATTCCTGAGCACTTCAGTTTGCTAACCCCAAAGCATTGCAAAGCTTATACATTCTGCTTCTTGTTTTACTATGCCCAGCTTCCCCTGATTCATGCTTCCCACATTCCATGTTCATTTAATACACGTTGAGCCGCTTTCACCTCTGTGCACATCAACAACTGAGCATTCTTTTGGCCTGACTCCAGTTGCGCCATTATCTGTGTGGCTTCTCATAGTTATCCTCTGCTATACCCCAGTCGCTCACTGTATGCGAACCAACCTGGGGGTCTCATTGTCTTTTCTCACCATATTGGTAACCCAATTAGAGTGGTGCTATAATGTCCTCCAAGGTAGCTAGCACTGAAAAGTGCCAAAAATATATACCAGATTCCTTCACCATAGGCAAATCTGTATGTAGTTCTTTATAATTAGGAGGAATAATAATACTTTCTACTTCAGGCATAGGCAAACTTGGGCTGTCTGGGCGTTTTGGACTTTGACTCCCACTATTTCTAACAGCCTCAGGACCTTTCCTTTCCCCCCTCAGCCGCCTAAGCAGCTGAGGGGGAAAAGGAAAGGTCCTGAGGCTGTTAGGAGTGGTGGGATTCAAAGTCCAAAACAATTTGAGGGAGGGCCATAGTTTGTCCATACTTGGTCTAGTTCATTAAGATCTTTACATAGAATTTTTGAGCTTGCACTAATCTCAGCCCGGCCTTTTAAATTGCCTTGAACAGGCAGGATTACTTTTAATATATATGTGTTATGACGACAATTTTTATGCTTAAATTATATTGTTAATTTTATGGTTATGTTGTTTGTATGTATTGATTATTTTACTTGGAAACTACTCTGATTCCCCTCGGGGAGATAGAGTGGTATATAAAGTTTATTATTATTATCGATATATATATATAAATGCTCTGTGCATAATGAGTACCTTAAAAACAAAAGAACCAATGAACGAAATCACACCAAATTTGGCAACAAAACGTCTCACAACACAAGGAGTGACCATCACTCAAAAATTATGATTTTGTCATTTGGGAGTTGTAGTTGCTGGGATTTATAGGTCACCTACAATCAAAGAGCATTCTAAACTCGATCAACAATTTAATTGAACCAAACTTGGCAGACAGAACTCCCCTGACCAACAGAAAATACTGAAAGGGTTTGGTAGGCATTGACCTTGAGTTTGGGAGTTGTAGTTCACCTACATCCAGAGAGCACTGTGGACTCAAACAATGATGGATCTGGACCAAACTTGGCACAAGCACTCAATATGCCCAAATATGAACACAGATGGAGTTTGGGGGAAATAGACCTTGACATTTGGGAGTTGTAGTCACTGGGATTCACAGTTCAGCTACAATCAAAGAGCATTCTGGACCCCACGAATGACAGAACTGGGTCAAATTTCCCACACAGAACCCTCCTGAGCAACAGAAAACACTTAAGGCCACCCAATCCAACTCCCTTCATAAGGGCAAGAAAACATAATCAAAACCCTCCTGACAAAGAGCCATCCATCCATAGATATATAAAGATATAGATGATTCATACATACACAGATATAGTATCATAGATTTGAAAGGGACCCCTGAAGAAGGACAATTTTATGTTGCATGTTCTAGAGTAGGCAAACCAGACACTCTACACATCAACACTGACAAAGAAACAGCAAGAAATACTGTTTACCCACAAGCATAAAAAAATTACATTTATTAAAAACCAACACTTTTCCAGATCAACAGACTGGGCCACAGCAACGCGTGGCAGGGGACGGCTTGTTGTTGTTGTTGTTGTTATTATTATTATTATTATTATTATTATTACATCACTTAAAATTGTTTTGTTTCTTAAATGAGTCTTCCTTCCCAGTGAATACACGAATGCCCACAGAAGCTATAATAAGGACATATTGCACTATGTTGTGGCCACTTTTGAAGAGTTTGAATGCATCTTTTTGGAAAATAAATGGCTTACTTGTAAAATCTATTTCATATGAAAAGTCATAGCTGTTGTGACAATTCAAATTGTGCTTTTGTTGGATTATCTTACCTGTGTCAGAATAGTAGAAATTACCTAGAGTAAACTGACATGGTGAACCATACTTTGCCTATTTCTCTTCTTGAATGTTTTCAAACCATCCTAGGAGGGCAAGTATAGCTGTGCCACCTGCCCAACCTATTTTGAAGCAGAAAGATTTGCAAAAGCAGTTTGGGAAATTATGTGAACTTGTGCTGTTTGAAGGCAGATTGTTAACAATTCCAGCAAACACACCAAAGCCTTGTGTGTGTATGTGTGTGTGTGTGTGTGTGTGTGTATGTGTATGTATGTATGTATGTATGTATGAATGTATGTACATGCCTTCAGGTCACCTGTTGACTTATGATAAGTCCATGAATCTTCTGAAGTTTTCTAAGGCAAGGACTACTTAGAGGTGGTTTTGCCAGTTTCTTTCTCTAAGGGAGATTCTACAGCACTTGGTAAAAGGTAAAGGTAAAGGTTTCCCCTTGACATTAAGTCTAGTCGCGTTCTACTCTGAGTGGTGGTGCTCATCTCCATTCTAAGCCGAAGAGCCGGCATTGTCCATAGACACGTCCAAGGTCATGTGGCCACTGGCATGACTGCATAGAGCGCTGTTACCTTCCCGCTCACAGCGGTACCTATTTATCTACTCACATTGCTGTTTTCGAACTGCTAGGTAAGCAGAAACTAGGGCTGACGGTGGGAGCTCACCCCACTTGTGACTTGAATTGCTAGCCTTCCGGTCGGCAAGATTTTCTGTAACTGGCAGTTAACCCAATGTGCTAACTGTGGCCTCATTGATGGTTTCCCATCTAGACCTCAGCAGTATATAAAACAGTCCTTTGAATTCTATCCCTCCAAAACATTAATTGCAAGATCTCATTTCTGTCTTCTGTTCTACTATCTTCTCCATTACGTTTAAAGCTTGTCAGATAGAGATGAGCATGAAGGATGGCTGTCTCAGATTATTATCTGGGTTTTCTTTTTGAGACCATTGATCTCTTTCTCTTTTCTTCTCTAGGTGACCTTCACAAAGAGGAAGTTTGGATTAATGAAGAAAGCCTATGAACTGAGTGTGCTTTGTGACTGTGAAATAGCACTCATCATTTTTAACAGTTCTAACAAGCTCTTTCAGTATGCAAGCACGGATATGGACAAAGTTCTCCTCAAATACACGGAGTACAATGAACCGCATGAGAGCAGAACCAACTCAGATATTGTTGAGGTAACAAATTGTATTAATGAATAGATTTTATGTTACTTTGTTCTGTTAAGTCAGCAATACCACCGTTAATTTAACAAAAGTAATGAACACTGATATTTTCTCCTCCTTCAATTTATACATAGTGTTATCTGAAGTGCTTAAGAGGGATAGCAAGTGTATATTAATAGATCAGCCTCTGAAGCATCCCTTACAGGTTTTTTTTCCTGAAAAATTGCCTTTTTATGTATTTTAGGAAAGGAGAGTTTTTCTTGATAATGTTTTAACCTGTGGATAGGAATAATGATACCCATATTTTACCTTCTATTTAAAGGTGGCACATTACTTTGAGATTGGATATCATAGGAAGCCAAATTGGATGTGCTTGGTTATGATGTAACATGACATCACATCTGGGCAGTTGTTCTTACTAATCTGTTCTTATTGTTGCTGTACGCTTCCTAAATACAAATGGAATAGACCATGTTGATTGAGACCAGAGATAAGGACCTTAATGGAGATCCAGGGCTCAAAAACACCTTCTATTGTGCATTAAGGAGTCATGGACACCCTAGTCTCAAAAGCTGTTCCTTTTTTGGTAACAACAACAATGCCTCGTGCACTTTCAGAATGCACCAGGCTTTCCCATTCCTCCACAATTTATTGTTTTTCCTGCTTCTCATTTTGAAGCTATAGTGTGAGAAAAAGTTTTAAATTTTTGGGAATGAGATTTGACGGTAGACAAGGCATGGGGATACTTTCTAACTTGGGGACCGCATGCTAGCACCCCATGTGCCCGGTGATGGATGGATGGATGAATGGGTGGGAAGGATGGAAGGAGAAGGAGGGAGAGAGGGAAGGAGGGAGGAAAGAGGGAAGAAAGGACAAAAGGGTGGAAGGGATGGATGGAAGGAGAAAGAGGGAGGGGAGAGAGGTGAGGAAGGAAAGAGAGAAGGAAGGAAAGACAAAGAGGGAAGGGAAGGATAAAAGGGTGGAAGGGAAGGATGGAAGGAAAGAGAAAGGAAGGAAGGAAAGAGAAGAGGAAGGAGAAAGAGATGAAGGAAGGGAGGGAGAAAGGAAGGGGGAAGGAGGAGAAGGAAAAAAAAAAAAGGAAGGAAGGAAGGAAGGAGAAAGAGGGAGAGAGGAAAGGAAGAACGAAAGGATGGAAGGGAATGGAGGGAGGGGGAGGAGAAAGAGGGAGGGGATGAAGGGAGAGGGGAAGGAAAGAAAGAAGGAAGGAGAAAGAGGGAGAGAGGAAGGAAGGATATTTATTTATCGTGTCAGGAGCGAACCAAACAGTTGTATTGCATTAAAAAACAAACAAACAAACAAAACATAAAGTTTGCATGCTTGGTAGTTGATTAAATGTCCTTTGACCAGTAGCTGGCCACTTGGAGTGCCTCTGGTGTTACTATAAGAAGGGTCCTCCATTGTGCATGTAGCAGGGCTCAAGTTGCATTGCAGCAGGTGGTCTGTGGTTGTTCTTCTCCACTCGCATGTCTTGGATTCCACTTTGTAGCCCCATTTCTTAAGGTTGGCTTTGCATCCCATGGTGACAGAGCGCAGTCTGTTCAGCACCTTCGAAGTCACCCAGTTTTCTGTGTGCCCAGGGGAGTCTCTCATTTGGTATCAGCCATTGGTTGAGGTTCTGGGTTTGAGCCTGCCACTTTTGGACTCTCGCTTGCTGAGGGGTTCCAGCAAGTGTCTCTGTAGATCTTAGAAAACTATTTCTTGATTTAAGTCGTTGACGTGCTGGCTGATACCCAAACAGAGGGTGGGCTGGAGATGTCACTGCCTTGGTCCTTTCACTATTGGCTGCTACTTCTCGGTGGATGTCAGGTGGTGCAATACCGGCTAAACAGTGTAATTTCTCCAGTGGTGTAGGCGCAGACACCCCGTGATAATGCGGCATGTCTCATTAAGAGCCACATCTACTGTTTTAGTGTGGTGAGATGTGTTCCACACTGGGCATGCATACTCAGCAGCAGAGTAGCATAGCGCAAGGGCAGATGTCTTCACTGTATCTGGTTGTGATCCCCAGGTTGTGCCAGTCAGCTTTCGTATGATATTGTTTCTAGCACCCACTTTTTGCTTGATATTCAGGCAGTGCTTCTTGTAGGTCAGAGCATGGTCCAGAGTGACTCCTAGGTATTTGGGTGCGCTGCAATGCTCCAGTGGGATTCCTTCCCAGGTAATCCTCAGACCTTGGGATGCTTGTCTGTTCTTAAGGTGAAAGGGTGGAAGGGAATAAAGGAGGGAAGGAGAAAGAGGGAGATGGGGGGGGGGGGGAAGAAGAAGAAGGAAGGATAGGATAGTGTGAGAGAGGAGGGACTGAGAAAAGAGCCCAAGGGCCACAGCCGGCCCCCAGGCCTGGGTTTGCCCATGCCTGCCGTAAACCCATAAATCTTTGCTCTTTGGTTGTCAACCTTTTGAGGCTGCATATAATTTGATAAACTTGTAGAGAAAGCTTTTCCTGACTTTTAGATTTCTTGAACCTTGTCCAAACTAAATATTTCTATTTCTATTAGTCGTGATTATGTATGTCCCCATAATGGAGAAAACATTTGTGGAACATGTTGTTTGATATGTAGAGATACACAATCCTTTATATATGTTTTTGCCCCTTTCCTTGACAATAATGTTTGAATGGAAGTGAGAACAGGTTTGGTGTAAATAATAACAGGAAGATGCTCATAATTAATTTATGTCTGTTTTTCATAAAATCAAAGTTGATCTTCTAAATTTCTAAAATGAAGAAAGTGTTTGGAAAAGGGTGAAATGCAAGGTTCTGGCAGAAATGTTTTTTTCCCTCTTTGGATTGGGAAGTAGTTTTCCAGTCAATTTGTTCTAGTTTAGGTATTTCCTCAAATTTCTCCTGCTTTCCTAACTACTTGAAGCTTAATTGTCCTTTTTAGGGGGGAAATTGGGGTGCGTAGTAGGGCATAGGAAGGAGGAAGCCATTGGCATGGCTGTTCCAGCAAATTATAGAAAATGGGTGGAAGTGGAAATAAATTGCAACACACCGTTGACCTTCAGCAAACCTTATTTTAGGTAATTGTATAGCTACATGTCACAGCTTGTGGCCCTGTGCCAGCTTTAGGAGCACACTTGGATCTGGCCCAATGGTAAGGCTTTGTGTGACAGGAAGGACTCCATAGAGTGCAGTGGGTCATGCCAAGGTTGTTTGAACCACCGGCAACACTGCATCAGGCACATAAAAAGCACTGTGGGGGGAATCCCACTCTTTGTATCCTAGAGGTCAAATGGCTGCAATATCCAGAAGAAAATGCTAACGTATGAACAGGCTTTATTGTAGCAGCATCGGAAATAGAAGATTTGTCAGAATGCAGGTAGAGCTGGAGGCATCTGGATGACAAGATAGGATGTGTTGTGTCCCATTGTACTTAAATCAGATTGGCAGGGGAAGAATGTGAAGTGCATTGTTTGCAGTGTTTTGATTTGGGTTTTGGAAATGGAAGGAAATATTTAAAAAATGAATGCTAACTGACCTGTGACAATGTATCTAATGAAGTAGGCTCAGTCTTTGAAAGCTTACTCTAAGCCAGGCCTGCTCAGACTGTGTCCCTCCATGTGTTGGGCACTCCCAATTCCCAGAAGCCCTGGCCAACTTGTCCAGTATTTCATATTTCATATATTTATATCCCGTCCTTCTCCCCACAAAGGGGGACTTAGCGTGGCCTCACATGAGCATCAGAGGATGCTAACAACATAAATACCATAAAAATTACAATTCTCAATAAAATCATTTTAAAACATTGTACATCATCAGTAAAATTTAACAATAAATTAATAAACATGCCAGTAAAAACCAAGCCAAGCCAGGAGAATCCATGTCGCAAAATCCAAATTCCCTTTTCCTATTGCTGCTGGCCTCTAATCGAACACCTGGCCCCAGAGCCAGGTCTTCAGTTGTCTTCTAAAGGACAGGAGGGACGTGGCCAACCTGATGTCCTTAGGGAGAGAGTTCCACAGATGGGGGGGCACTGCCGAGAAGGCCCTGTCTCTCGTCCTTACCAACCGCGTTCGTGAGAGTGGTGGGATCGAGAGCAGGGCCTCTCCTGATGATCTTAAGCTTCGTGATGGTTCATAGCAGGAGATACGTTTGGACAGGTAATCTGGGCCAGAACCACCTGGCTTACAAACTTGTGAATCAGGCCCCTCCAGCTTGTGTTTGCAGCCACTCCACTAGAGCTAGAACCATGTCCTATATCTTTCTGAGAAGAGTGCCTTTAGAGGACTTTTGTAGAGCAGTTCCATAATCATTGCCTTTGACTTTCACCTCCCATTTTAGAATTGAAGCATGACCTAGGGCCAAAGTCATGTTCAGGAGAGGTAGGCTTTACTCCTGCCTCACAGAACACTCCTGGTGAATAGTGTGCTAATCTTCCATTAGTTTGAGTCACAGAGGCCATGAAGATGGACAGATTTCTTATCTGTAACCATACTTCTTCAGGTTGGCATCTATGAACTCACATAACGCTTGCCCTTCCTCTTCTCTACGTCTCCTGCTCTTCCTTGTAGGCTGCTGTTTTGGCATCCATGGAACTAAGGGTTTGAGCAGAATTCCCCTGGTCACCAGTATCAGTGGAGGAGGGGTTACCATCAAAATGTTTGCATAATAGATGTAGAAGTTTCTGATGAAAGCAGCATGTAGGTGCAGTTAACTCCATTTTGTGAGTTCTCAATTGACCACTCAAAGAACTATGGCTACAGGTATGCAACCTCTCCCTGATTGTTTTTTCTTCTCAATTTTCAAGGCTGTAGAAAGTCTTATTGATTTTTCCTTCTTCATAACATTGCCAGAATCTGACCTTTTTTCCTCTGCTTTCTCTGCTAATTTTTGCATTGGTTATTTCCCACTAGGGCTATTATAATCTTTTGACTGGTTTCCATTGTCTCTCCTGAGTCCCCTGGTTTCCATTCAACATTCTGCTGCTGTGTTTATCTTTTTGCTCCATAATTTTGATCATGTAACCCAATTGTAATATCTCTTTATTTGGTTG